GTTTTCCGAAACTTTTTCAGCTTGAGACTTACCTTATTAGAAAATGGACTTCGTAAATTCTCTTGTATTCGACTTAGAAAAAGTGTAGCTATGACGAGCATTTTTAGTTCGCCGAACTCGAAACGCTCCTTGGTGATGTAGAACGTGCTAGAGCTATTTTCGATGTTGCTGTTCAGCAGCCGGCGTTGGATATGCCTGAGGTATAGTTTCCTCTTCGCTATTTTGCTTTTTTGATGCTCCTCATTCTTTGCTGTTGGAGTAGTTTAGATTTGCTGTAGATACATTACAGTGCTTTTCTTCTCGATTTGACATCTTGGAATATACTCTGCAGCAAACTCTGATGCTTCCTTATATCGTTTACTTAAATTTTTCACGCATTTTAACCTTTCCTCGTGTTCATTTTTTCATCATTGCGTTTGATATAGATTTTGTGGAAGGCTTACATTGACTTCGAAATCAATGCAGAAGAGTACGAGAAAGCACGCGATCTCTACGAAGCGTTACTGCAGCGTACGAACCACATAAAGGTTCGGAACAAATACTGATATTCGATGTGCCATTTTATTTATTATTCTTTCTTTCCTTCCAGGTTTGGATCTCTTTAGCAGAATTCGAGTTGTTTATTGGGAACGTTGACGGAGCCAGAAAGGTTAGCGCTGCGAATTGCTTTGAATTAAATTTGTCCTTATTATTGAAGGAGTTTTTATAGGTATACGAACGCGCAAATCGAGCGCTCGAGAATGCAGAGAAGGAGGAGCGTTTGATGCTGTTAGAGGCATGGCTGGAGGCAGAGAAAAAAATTGGTGATATTAATGCCATTCAAAAGTGAGTGAATCGGCTGTGTTGTTTTTATGAATCATTGTGATTCATTCGCAACGAATTTCGCTTTGTTTAGGGTGGAGAACATGATGCCACGCCGAGTAAAGAAACGTCGGCAAATTCAAACCGAGGATGGTGTCGACGCTGGATGGGAAGAATACTATGACTATATCTTCCCGCAGGATCAAGGTAACATTACCAATGGCCAAGGTTGTATGTACATAGACTCGGACACTCCTATTCGTTATGGTCTTCGGACCGTATTAACATTACCGCTACCACTTTGTCGTTTTTTAACTTCGTATATGTTGTGCCATTTATTTTAGCCGCGAAAGGATCATTCAAACTGTTAGAAGCAGCAGCACGATGGAAGCAGCAGCGAGAGCAAATGGCAAAAGTATGTTCACTCTAGCTGCTTTCGATTAGCTTTTATTCACATTGTTTTCAGGAAGCACAAGCTGTGACTGACGACCGAGATAAAGAGCGTGCAGGAGGTGATGAATCAGATAACGAACCAAATGACAGAGTCCGAGAAGGTGATTTGATAGTTCCTTTTTACATTGTCATCTTCTGCGTTATATCCAATTGGGCAACCGCATCTCATCAAACTGTCTAAATATGATAGAATTACTTTCCCTCCTTTTTATCTTTGTGCGACTTCGAATGAATGAAATGTGTAGGTTCCGATTCTGCAATTTCGGAAATCCGTTGTGATTCTCTTTTGTGTGCCTTTTTACGATATTGTCTAACCTGATTTGGGTTTCTCTTCAAAAAACTCTGAGGCGAAAGTATCGTTGGAAGAGTGTTTGTTATCTCAAGATTTTCGGTTCTAGTCGGTTCAGTGCATTTTTCAGAGGTAAAGGGGTAAAGAGTTGGTGGCGCACAGTCATTGATAAACCGTTATTCCTTTTCATTACGCCACAGTGTGAAAGGATAAGAGGAAAGGTGCCTTTCATTGCCTCTTGGAGCGCGTATCAGAAGATTTCAATTAAAACCTGTAGTGGAATCTAAATGGCTATCTCTGTTGGTCGCCGTCTTGGATGTGACATTGAAATTGGTTCTATTAGGGTCGCATTGTGTCATCAGAGACACCTTTTCCTTTCGCAGCGTCTGGTCCTTATTTTTTGCGACGCCTGAGAGGAATATTTGGATCTCTCATATCTCTTAAAATGTTCATTTGCGAATCTGAGGTAGTATATATAAGAGGGAACAACGAATTTTCATTATTTAGATGTGTAGGATGTAGCGTTGTCAGTGTCTGAGGCATCTGTACATTCATGTTTATAAAGATGTTTCGAGGTCTGTGACACGGATATGGAAAGTAGTAGCAGTGATTCGGATTCCGAAAGCACGTCTAGCTCATCTGATTCACGACGGTCGACGTGATATATTAGGCACAGTTTTCTTTGGTTATCATTGTGACTATGCCCCTCATGATCTACCGGTCATTGTTGTTGTATGTGTATTATAGACGTCTGTAGTCGTCGATTGTTGGTCGTTATTGTGTAAATAGGTGAATGTTTGTTCAAATGCAAATTGGTGAACGGAAATCTGAATTGTCAAGTTGTGAATGCTTGCACAAGCAGCAGATGATAAATATTGATTTAAAATGCATTCGAATGCGATTTGTCAAGGAATGTCCTCTATTTACTTTACTAGAAGTTATGCCACGCTTTCATGGGTTTTGTATAGCGTATAGATTTTGAGTAGATGGAAACATGGCTGTTCAACCTACAGCACTATGAACCTTAGGTTGCTCGAAAAGCGTTTATGGCTTGCCACATCTTTGCGTCTCGCTTAGTGAAACTATCATACTATCTTCTTAAACAGATGCCGATGGCAGATCATGTGCGAAATAAGGATTTTGAGTGAATTATAGTACGAGAAACGGTTGGAAGTCTCAGCGCTGTGTGGTCTCACATAATCTGGCATTCCTTACAACATTTTAGAGTGAAGTACTCGATTGGAGATTTTTGGTTTTTCACGAAGTGATATCCTCTATTCGCATTCTCAAAGTCATTAACTTGTGGCGAGCGACACACCTAGGCGATTATGAGGGAGTTGTAGTGCAGTCCCAATAGTCGGTCGTTAGGCACCTTATGGTTGCGTTAACTCATTCTAGGTTTTTGGCGGCTCCTTTGCGTCCGCAAAGAGCGACCGGGCCTAATTAGGGGAAGTCAGCTGAGGTACTGCGAAAAAAGAGATTTCGGTTTTTAGTTATTCCTCATGTTTAACCAAATATCTGTCATTCAGTCTATCTCGTAATTCTCATATCATTCCTTCCTCGAAAAGTCCTGATTTTTATGATAATTTCAGGTCTTTCGTTTCGTGTTGAAGCTTGCAAAATCGGCTGGAGTGCTTGTTGGAGTCGGCGGTTGGCTTGGAGCGAGCAGCGTTCGCTTTACGAGATCTTTATCTCACGAATACGGGGTATCGCCACAGCCAGTGACGAGGTACTATCGTGAACGACGGTTTGCCCTTTTGTTGGCGATCAAATGCTTATGCGTAGGTAGTTTACTGACTATGAGTTTTTAGCTATCGCAAAACGGTATCGAGTTATCCGAGAAGGACTATAAAGGATGCTTTCCGGACGGAACGCGGTTTTTTATCCGACATGGATTACCCGTGAGTCTGTAAACGTGCATATGAAGGTTTTAGATCAACTTCGCAATGGGGCTTTCATGCTTTTTAAGTAGCGTTCTTAAATTAAAATTTTGGGAGTTTCATTTGAAATTATGCTGAGTAGAAGCTAATTCTGTCGTCGTAACCGGTTCCTATATCGAATCCTCTTACTTGGGATTGTCTTTATTGTTCAGAAAAACAGTTCCTGCTTCCTATCCTTTCAAATGCAACGTGTTGAGGGTTTTAGTTTGTTGGTGTGTCTGAAGGTTTATCTCATGCGAATTTCTATATTTCCTTTACATCGTTTCTTCATGCAATACTCGCATTTAGCTGAAGCTTTTTCATTTGCGGGATATTGCTTGCTGTTTCTAATTCCGTAGCTTCTAGCAAGACGAAGGAATCATTTTTTCCCGACATTTTCCTTCATCAACTTACTATGGGAATACAATACAGACAAATATGTTTTTGTGAAAGTAGCATCACTTCTCAAGCGCGCCGGCCATTTCTCCTCGCGTACGTTTGGAGTTGTGGATACGCAGAACGCTCGAAGTTGAACTTTTTTCTCTTCATTAAGGACGTGAAATGCCACTGAAAAAGCTAATCCTACTTACTTTCTCTGAATGGAACATCAAATTATCTCTGGGTTTCTTTAGAAGAACACATCATTCCAAGCGTAGAGTTCTGCATTTATTTTTCTTACCATTTTATTCGCATGTTTATGACTATATTAAAAGAGGAATGAATCGAACCGAAAGTTGTGAGGATCAGAAATTTTCGATATGTTGAAGCACGCCTAACCACTTACGAGGCATACACGTCGTGAATTGGTATGCTTAGCTGTGCTTTGCAGAATGAGAGCAAAAATGTCTGGAAGAGTTCGCGCATGCACGAAGAGGATGACAAGAGCATGGGCCGCGCGTGGCTGCTCCTTCGCACTTGGCCTGCAAAGCGAGAACCATATATGTAGAGATCACGCGGTCGTCAGTTTCTTAAACGAGGCTGTCATAAGATGTTCTCATTTTAAGAGATGTAACATCTTATATGCGTTTTCCACCATTTCTCGTTGAAGTGGTCATGAATATTAAAGCCTATCAGGAAGCAATATTCATATCCTGGTACCATGAATCTGCATACGTCATAAACGATTAGTCGTAGGCCTCATTCGTAGATCAGATTTACGTCAATAGTATCAGTTGCCAGAAAAATTACAATGTGAAGAATTGTGTATTCGTATATTCATGAATGTTAGCGATTATATTCACACTAATAGTTCAGGCTCCTGGGCTACTGTTCAAACAGTTTTCACATTAAATTGCGTCAAGATAATTCGAAATTTTCATTCCCTCCAAAAGGCAATTCCCGTAGGAGATCGAAGCATCTAGGAAAACAACTAATTCTAGAATTCTCATAACTGTTTATCATCTTAGAGGACTAGTGATATAGTAGTATAGTATCTTGCCCGCAAACTTCTCGGAGGTAATTACAGGGTGCGCCAAATTACGGAGACAACGCAACACGAAGAGCAAACAATTTGAACTGATATTCACAGATGCTGTTTTCTTCTGTCCTAGTTTTGGTACTGTGGTGTAGAATTGCTCATGCTTACCTTGTTCAACCACCAAAATCTATGGTAGCTGCAGCGGTTGACTGATACTGACACCGTCCCTAAATCATTGGACTTCCGACGTTGAGGGTTTTTGGCACGCGACAATTATCATCGTTTTGGTGTATACCCGAGCACTATCAATAGATGCTCCAAGTGGTACAGGGGACAAGGAGCTGAATGCAGTCATTCTGGATGAGAAGGGCGTGTTTCTGTGGCGACCACGAACAATCTAAGGATTGTGTGCGATAGAATTTGCAGGTAGTTGACGCGCTGGTTTCACTGGATGTCACGAGAGATAGGAATCAGGGGGGCTCTTTTGGATTTATCAGAGCCCATTGCTATCCTGAGTTTATTTTCACTTTGAAAATCGTTGCTGGGCCTTCCATCAAGTAGGAGCTCCCGTTTACGAGGCAAGGGTGGTTCAGTACTAGTGCAGCATTGATGCAGAACCGATTTTTTCGACTTTGTCGGCTTAAACGGTGGTAGAACAGCATTTCAGATCTGAAGAAAAAAACCAAAGCCTTTCTGATAGGGTACGCTGCGGATCCGTTCTAGAAGCTGAGGCTTGCATAAAACACATTATGTCTAGGGATTCGTTGAAGAAACCGCTCTAAAATGAGCTTGACGAGTCCTACTCGCCACATTGCGTGCCACAGTCGATGGTTCCTCGATGTTTCTGAGGACCCGTATAAACACAAACCAAGGAATTTCAAAAATTGCATGGATGTCGACGATTCAGAATGGGACTGTGCACGTCACTGCATTTTTGTTTTCAAAGAATTGCACCTTGCTCATCCTAGGCAACTCGAAGTCGCTGTCTCCGTAATTTTGGCGCACCCTGTAGTTTATAACTTGGAGTTTTGCGCGCTAGAGTATCGTTCGGCATATCGTAAGATAGCATGAACGCGGAATGAACTGAAAGGACATTCGAATTCATCAAAGTGGTCCCAGAAGTCTGTCATCCAAAGTATGAAGTAGAAGTTATTCATTGAAAGAGCAGAATCCAAACTTTGAGTTGATTTGCAGGAATTGTTTGATGTGATCTTTTTGTTCGAGACGAACATAGTTCTAATCCAGTGGAAGTTATTAACTAAGATAGACAATGAGCGTGGAAAGGAAGTGGCGAATTGTTGGAATGGAGTAGGCAACGATGGATAGTGGGCACATCGGTCTGTTTTGCTATGACAAGCCGGCGTTAGACGCATGCGTTTTGAGCAACGCCAATAGCAATTTCCGCGATAGGCGGGACTGAAATTGCTGCAGTTGTTGGAATCGCTCTTGGAAGTCCTAATCCCCAACCGTTATCTCTCACCTAACATAAGCCTGTCCCTAACCCTAAGCGTGACCCTACCCTAACCCCGTTTTAATTCTAGGGTAAGGCTAGGCTGTAGTAGGGTTAGATTGGGTCAAGGTAGGGTTGGGCTGGGGTTAGTGTCGAATCAGGTAGGGATAGGGTAGGGTTATGCTGGGGTTAGGGTCATGATTGGTGGGTAGAGCTTCGATGAACCTAGTTCTGTTCCTTGATAGGGCACTGCGATCTCAGCGATTCCTGCGATTCTAGCGAGTTCCGAGATTCAAACTACTTCAACATTCCAGCAGTCTCGATCGTGCCAATCGCGAAGATCGCGGATGCTTAATTTAGTGCCAGCCGCTCAAGTCGTTGTATGACACCGGCCGTACATAAATATCAAAGGCGATGAACAAGGTGGCTGTAAGGCAAGGCGTTGGGAGATGGTTCCAACTATACACCGTCATGCTGGCAGGTCTGGTTCCCTATGAGGTCATCGAAGCCACTTTTCTTCCCAGCGTTTACGTCCGCTGCCTTGAGATCTGTGCAATAAATGTTTCATAAGCAGAGATATGTATTTGACTTGAAAAAAGATGCAGAGTGAGCAGTCACTTCCGATTAGTCGGCTGACACCACGTTCGCATCACGCTCCAAAAAAAACGTATGTGGGTCATGTTCAGTGGGGAGGACAATACGAACAAGTGTAACCTCCGAAGATTACTACTTCTCCTTGCTGAGGGACAACGTGAGGGTCTGACGGGCATTCAGTACGGCTAGCACAGAACTCTGATTGTTCCCTCGTACAATTCACCACGACGTGCTAATTTGCATGGCAATGCACGACTCATGCGATGAATAATTTTTCTAATT